AGAGGAGGCAGATGGTGATGGAAAAAACAATAATTGAGTTCTGATTCATTCAATATTTTTGTTGTTGTTATGAACGACAACAGAAATACTAAGAAGGTATGCACATATCTTCATGCCTTTCTGCGACTGCAGGTAGAATTGATCTAATCTGGGCATTCTTTTTTTTTTATCCTCATCCGAGGACATTTTTCCATTTTTTGTTCAGATAGAGCGGGAGGGGGAGAGAGGAAGAGAGAGAGAGAGAAACATCGATGTGAAGGGACACATCGAGTGGCTGCCACTCGCACGACCAACCAGGGCTGGGGACAAACTGCAACCGAGGTACGTGCCCTTAGCGGGAACCGAACCCGGGTCTCTCTGTACCGCAGGCCGACGCTCTAACCGCTGAGCCAAACCGGCCAGGGCTAATCTGGGCATTCTTTACTGCACTCTGCTCAAGCATGAGGTGTCTCTGTGGGTCTCTTGCTGTGAGACTCTGGACCACTTGTGGAGGTGGGGAAGGCTACTTACAGTAGAAGGGGTGGAATCAGCCCATGGAATCAGGGCATGTGTATACTCCGGAGTCTGTGCCTGCACAGGAGAGCTTACACACCTTCTCTGTCAATGGACTAGACTTGGTGTCCTGCAGTTTGAGTCCAGTTGAGGAAGGAGGGCATGGAGGATACACTTCTGTCAGTCAGTAGGACTGAAGCCTTGTGCCGTGAACTGCTGGGCGTGACATAGCCAGGTCTGTGACGTGACATGTAGGGACGAGGGGCAGGCTGTTCCTGGCAGTTTCCTATCTATATAACTTGAGGAAGAGTTCATAAACTAGAAGGAAAGTGATTGGTTGGCAAGGAAAAGTCTGCTCCATGGCTTTTACTCTGTAAGTGTAGGTAAATAGAATTTAAAGCAGAATTTGAATTATCATAATATTGGCATCCTCATTTAATATCTTAATCTTTTAGAGACTCGGGTTAATTTGTATTTACGACAAATGCAGAGTTGTAGAAAAGTGAGCTTATGTTGAGAGTTACTGCCTTCTGTGAATAAAGGAATGAATTTTGTTCAATCCGAGGGTAGATCTAGCCCTATTCCTAGTTAGTGAATATGCACACCTAGCTAAGTGACAGTTGTGTCCAGCCAGAGTGGGATGTCTGAGGACCGAGATGATGGTAAAGAGATGCGGAGTGAGGGTGGGAAAGGCACCTGCAGCACCTAACAGGAGGTGACATGAAGCCAGAGGACTTTGAGAACTTTTCAGCTGGGGGCCAGGGAGGACTCACGGGGGCTAGATGGCACCCAGGAAAGATCAGGAAGCAGGTCAACACTGAAAGAAACTCAAACACACCTGACCATGGGGCCATCCTAAACTTCTGTCACTTCAGACTGAATATCCTGATCCAGCATCCTGCTTTACCCCATACCATATGCCTGTGCCCACCACACTTCACCTGTACTGTCTACTTTCTGTTCCTCCCACTTGCCAAGCTCATGCCCCCCTCAGGGCCTTTGTTCATGCTACTCTGTCTACCTAGAATGCTTCCCCTCCCCCATCCCATATTTACATGATTGGTTTATTTGCAGTCAGGTCTCAGTCCAACATCACTTTTGTCTGTCCTATCTGAGGTAACCCTCAACCAGCCACTGTGTTGTATTACCCTGTTTTTTGTGTCTTTACAGCATTCATCACTCACTGAAATCATCTTGTTTGTTGTTGTCTTCTAGTTCTCTGACTGGAATGGAAGCACGATAAGAGTAGGACTTTTTTTCTGTCTAAATGATTGTTATATCCCTACTACCTAGACGAGGACCAGCCTTAGCCAGGGTTCAATAAATGTCAGTCCAATGAACGAGTGAATGAATGAAGGACTGCATGACGTCAGGACAATTGGAGAAAGAGAACCAAGTCATATATATCAGCCAAACATTCTGTACTTAAATGTTCGTTACTACCCTGAGAATAAGGAGTCTGTGCTGGTGTTTGTATGTATTTCTGAGTTTTTCTGTTGTCTTTTAAGTGCCTGACATTGACTACGGGTTTAATAAATATTTGCTAGATATAAATTTAATGAAAGACCTGTTTTACAAATTTTACCCTTGTTTCAGCTGAATTAAATTGGTCCTTTGTAGCATAGGTAATCCAGGTGGCTCAGAGGATGAGGCAAGTTTCAGGGTGACAGGTCATACTCATAGGAAAGCTGAGAGATCCTCAACTTTCGAATCAGCTTTTGAGTTAAAAGACACTGAACTTATTGGTAAACCATTTTTATAAGTACACTTCAAGTTGATTTAGTGGTAAAATAAAAATCAGCATGTGTTTAAATGGTTACTATTTTTAACTTAATAGTTCCATAACTCAGCCAAAGGCATTTTTTAATTCTCTTGTGTGGCACTGGAATTCATTTACAGATAAGCCAGGGTTCAGTATGTGGGCTTAGATGTAATGAACGGGAGTTCTAGTTAGCACAGCTTAGGAATGCGATCTTCCTTGACTGTAACTGAGACCAAACACCAATAGCTGGAGTGTGGTGCAGCTGGGCACACTGGACAATGATGTGACCTCTCTGGGCTTCATCCTCCTCCCTGGAAAATGAGGAGGTTGACATTATGACAAGGTTGAGATGAACAACCCTATTGCTGTGTTCTTGTCTTTATTTCTTATGATTGATCCCTTACACCAAATCTATGTATATACAGTGGTTATCAGTGCTATTTGTTAATACACTTTGTATTTTGGAAAAAAAAAAAAAAAAAACTTGTGATATGGATAAAATTTAGGCCATCTCCTCCTTTCACCATTTGCCACATCACACCTGCATTACTAACTTTTTAGCAGCCTCTGTTGTTTCTATCACCTTTATTTAGGTTGATGGTAGTGTGTGTGTGTGTGTGTGTGTGTGTGTGTGTGTGTGTGTGTGTGTGATTTGGAGAGACTGTTTAGTCTACAGGTAATGCCTGGGAACCTGGGACTCTAGAAAATGCCTCTGAGGCCCCTGAGAGACCCTCTGTAAACAAAAAAAAAATCCTAACCTGAGGATATGTTCACTGATTTTAGAGAGAGAGAGAGACGTGGACTGGTTGCGTTTCACACTTGTGCCCCCATGAGGACCAAACCCACAACCTAGGTATGCACCCTGCCAGGAATAGAACTCGAGACCTTTCGGTGTACAGGATGACACTCCAATCAATTGAGCCACACCGGCCAGGGCAGATACCCATTTTATAAAATGGTTCTACCTGACTGTTTCCCTGATCAATCTTCTTGAAGTGCTCTGAGAATGGTCAGCCAGTGGACATGTAGAGATGGTACTTTGAGGACAGCAAGCTAAGGTTTCGCTTTTCTTCTTGCAAAGGCGACATTTAGCCTGAAGGAAAAGAAGCCTTCCACTCAAGCTTCCATGGCAAGCATTTAAAAAAAATTAAGCAATGCAAGTTTTGCTAAGTAGTCTTACTAAATGTTAAACAATTAAAGCAAATTATTTTCAATTATATATTTTTAAGATTTTTGCTGCGTAGACATACCAGTGTTTAATATGTTATGTGTCAGCTATAGTTCATTACCCGCCCTCCTGGATTCAATGTTTAGAGTATGTTATTCATATTTTATAGACAGATCCCAATCTCACCATTTTAACACGTTATAGTTTACAGGCTTGCTTCTTCGAAGTACAGATATTCACAAGAGATATAAGCTATCAAGGCCTTGTTCAGAAAGCAGCTGTATATTTCACAGTCCCTTTCCTCCTTCCTTGTCCTTTTATCAGTTAAATAGTTACTGTTCTAGCCCAGCCAGTGTGGCTCAGTGGATTGAGCATCTTTCCATGGACTGAGAGGTTTCAGGCTGGATCCCCAGTAGGGGGCATGCAGGAAGCAGCTGATCCATGTTTCTCTCTCACATGAATGTTTCTATCGCTCCCTTCCCCTCTCTCTAAAAAATCAACAAAAACATATTTAAAAATATAGTTACAGTTCTATAAGAAAATATAAAACAGTACAATGAAGAATACTTTTAAAAATCACTCAACCCTACCATCAGAAAATAACCCATATGAACTTCAGAGATCATGCTCTACATGCTATTTTATAATCTGAGTTTTCTTTATATAAAATATGAATAATATATTTTCATTTAATGAAAGGTTCTTCTCAACACGAGTTTTAATAATGGCATGATATTCCATCCTGTAGCTGTCCACTGCATAACCCCCAATTGCAAGAGACAGGACAAGGAGAAAAGAAAATAGGGTCTGAGGCAGACACCCTCCTTTTTACTAGTTGTGACCGTGGCCACGGTTTGTGTGCATCTTGTTCCTCAGTCTCCTCACTCATAAAATGGGGATAACCACAGTATCAGCTTTATATCCAGTCATGTAAGGGTGAAATAAGTTATTATATGTGGTACAATAATACTGTCATATATTCTGTTATTAGAGCATTATTATTCTATTCTTATCTAAAATTCCATTATTCTAATAGAATAATTACCAGGCACCATGGTAAGTGCGCAATAAACATTCATTATTACCTATATTGTTTTCAATTTTTTGACGTTATTATACTGTGATGAGTATCTTAGAAGAAAAAGGGCTTTTGCTCTCTTCATATTATTTTCCTAAGATACGTTTTTAGAAGTGGAATTACATCTTTGCTACTTCCTGCTAAATGGCCCTCTGCAGAGGGTGTGTGTGCTCGTGTTCTCTCTATAGCACCGTAGAGAGGAAGCAGCTGCTCCTGGGTCCGGAGGTGCGGCGTGGGGGAGGGTGGCAACGGCCCGCAGGGTGTTTGCCGCGCTCCAAAACCACGCAATACGGAGCAATTGGGACTTAGTCTTCCTTTTCAATATTGATATAGTTTTCAGGCAAAGATATAAAAAATTAAAAGATGTACTTTTTTGTGTACTTAGTATATTATAGTCTGTGTTTTGCTTGAGAAGATATTTGAATTGGTATGAAAATTGGAACTTGACTACATTGTTAAGATGTTTTCCCCCACTGAAACAAATATTTTCTATTTTCAAGGACAAAGCACCAAGCCATGGGAGCAGTCAACCCTTCAGAACCCATGCTGGTGGGACAGCCCCGGCCACCAAGGTCAGTCATTTCTAAACACCAAGAACAGAACTCTCCCCGAGTTGTGTCATTAGTGGGAGGGGCTTACAGGGAAGGCAAACCAAGGGCCATTTCTGCATTGGGCGGATGCAATTTCTTAATGATTTGCTGTAAAACCATTTACGTTATCATTTTTACTGGCATATATTAATGTGTACAATGAATATTATTTTCATAATATCTCTAAATAACATTGGACTTCTGCATATACTATGAGTAGAAATATAGCCCTCCCACTTCTTCAGAAATTAATTCAAGTTGTCTTACTGAGCATTAACCACACCAGGCTCTCTGCTAAGTATGCTATGTAATTATCTAATGTAATCACCTCATAACCTTATAAGTATTATTCCTTTATACCTGAAGAAACCAGGGCTCAGAGAGGTTAAGTAACCTAGACAAGATCACAGAGCCAGGAGATGGAGGTGGAGTTTGAACCCAGGTTTCCAGTTTACACAAGGTCCTGGACCTGCTGGGTCTCAGAAAGTCTGATGGAACATTCTTTGGTCATCTAACACTTCAAAGCTGTGCAACTTATAAAAATCACTGAAACATCACCTTTCAAGACAAGAAACTATAATTTAAGCTAGTAGATTTTAATAATATATAAAATAGTTATATTCAGCCCATTTCAATTTGTGTTTTTCCAGTATCTCCAAAATTATCAAAAACCTTAACCCATTTCAAGACTGTCTATACAACCTTTTAAATAAGCATTTTTCTTTTAAAACTGGTGGCTCTCCTAAAGAGGTCTGTGGGCTTTCTCATACAGGTTATTTGCTTGGTGAAGAGTAATATTTTATTGCTTCTCAGAACATGGCTGCTTTGCAAGCCCCTCAAAGGTGCCAAAGCCAAAACTCAGCTGGGAAATGAGAAGAGGTGGCACAGAGTTGGACACCATCCTAACTAAAAAAGATTTTTCCAGATGTGTTCTGTCTTTTCCGGTATTAGGACCTTTGTTTAACTTATACTTAAGTTATGCCTCTGAAAATGAGAAGCCTTCTTGGCAAAACGGCAAGTCAATGAGATTCAGTAAATAATTTGTAAGTGTTTTCCAGAATTGTTAGTACCTTCAGCCTTTCTTGAACTTAGTCATAAGAAGCTGCCCCTTTTCCATCTTTTTTTTTCCCCCACACATGAACTTGTCATGTAATCATTGTGAGGTAGAATGGTTATAAAGAATTTGGATGTCTCCCCCAAAACCTGTTCTGTCTCAGGAAGCTGTTGGAGCGTCACACTGTGGGAAAGTCATAGCTGAGAGGTGGAGACATTTTAGCCACATGTTTATTGTTTTAGCATTTAATGGCAAATTTGGCATTCTTTCCTTAGCTTCTAAAACACTGTCCTCTCCTACCTCCATTCTTTTATCTTCGGTCACTCTTTCTCACTATGCTTTCCTGGCTCACTTTGCTTTGTCGGTTTTCTGAATATTAGTTTTCCCTGGATTTAATTCTTTACTCCTTCCTTTCTCATAAATTAACTCTTATACAGATCGGAAGAAAAACATATGTATAATTAATATAGGTTCTTAGTTCTTTTTATCCAAGATTGAAAGGGCTTTAACTCAGTATTATCATCACCTAAAAAAAATTATTTCTATGCCTCATTTGGAAAAACTGGGAGTAATAGCATTTGTGATCATCTGAAGCTTTTATTACACAAGTAGTTATCAGTATACACACAGGCAAAAATATTACTTTGTCAACACTTTTTAAAAAGGCATGACAAAATAGTAGATGTAATTGGTAGTGAGAACTAGTCCCGATTTTCTTGATTCTGGACACATTCTACCTGTAAGTTAGAATAAGTAATAAATTTATCATTATTAGCCAACCCAAGTCTGTCTTAAATGTTAAATATTTAATTTGAAGCCTATGCATAAGCTATGTATTATAGAATAGTCACCATGTATTGCAGAACTGTTTTACAAGAATTTTTACAAAATCAGTGACTATGTGCACAAAGTAATATCACTTCTGCCATAAAGTGCTGGTCTTGGAAGATCCAAAGCGCTTAAGTGGCAAAGCTATTTCTAACTCAAATAATTATTGTAAGATGTTCAGTGCTTCAAATTCAAGTTTTTTTGAAACATTAATAATGAGGACTAATGAGGCTGCAGAAATGATACAGGCTCTTATTTAAGCCCATGGCAAAACAGTTATGGTTCCTAATGTCACACAATTTGATTCCTGGAAGAGTTCTCAGGCAAATTTTATTGTAATCACCTCCCTATTCAAGCGAGGAAACCAAGGTTGAACCTGGGCTAGGAAGCTCTTTGTAGAAAACCACAGCTATTAAGAAAATGTATCAATTAAGGTTATTAATTTCAAATCGAATCCACTCTGACTAGTTCAAGCCAAAAAAGAATTTCTTAAGGATAGCTGGTGGCTTGTGGAGGAATCCAGAAAGCTCCAGCAGAAGGAATCTCATTTCAGGGCCAGAAACAGTGCCCGGCCACAGGGTGGAGCCTCTCCCCGGCTCCCACAGCTCAGCACCTATCAGACGTAGGACCAGGTGCCAGAAACTCTGCCACTGCCAGTCTTGAAGACTGACAAGCCTTATCATAACACAGATGCTTCGGTGGACAGTGGCACCTTACACTGCTTACTTCCCAGCTCATTCTCTTTCGGCACATTTGATTGGCCAACACAAGTCACGTGCCTCAACCTTCCTCCAAGGCAGTGGTTCTCAACCTTCCTAATGCCGCCACCCTTGAATACAGTTCCTCATGTTGCGGTGACCCCAACCATAAAATTATTTTCGTTGCTACTTCATAACTGTAATTTTGCTACTGTTATGAATCGCCATCAGAAATATGTTTTCCGGTGGTCTTAGGCCACCCCTGGGAAAGGGTCATTCGACCTCCAAAGGGGTCGTGACCCACAGGTTGAGAACCGCTGCTCCAAGGGAATCTGGGGTTGTGAGTATTCCGGATTCTACTGGGGGAAGGCGCAGACTGACAAGGTGGGAAATTATCCACATGTAGTGAGGGTTTATAAATGTGCGGTTAGCTGCCAACTGACAGGTACCCACTACAGAAAGGAAAATGGGAATTGCCTAATTGAACTGAAGGGCATCATTGATGATAGGTTGTTTAATATTAGGCCTTCTAAACAGAAGAAGGTACAGACAACTTTTCTCCCAGCTAGAGGGGAGAAAAATCTAATAGACACCCATCAGAGAAATGCTTTGAGATTTGGGTTCTGGTTCTGCTGTAAATAGCTGTTAACTTGGTCAACACAGCTCTCCTCTCAGAGCTGCTTCTGTTTCTCAGCTGTGGTACGAGGGTCTGGATACACTGTGCGGGGCATGAGGTGGTCCTGCATTCAGTGCCAGCCTCACCCACAGCGACTACCTGCGGTAGTGCGATGACTGTGTTACGCAGGCAAGCATTTTTATTTTAATAATTATGCAGATATTTTAATATGCTATAAAAAGTAAACTAGAACTTTAAATTTTGTGGTCCCATGACTAGTTTTGCTTAAGACAAGGCTAAATGAACAGTTAAAAGGCAAATATGTTTTTTAAGTGTTAAGTAAATATAGTATACTATTACAGTTTAAAAATATATGTTATAGGTAATATGCAAATAATAAGAGCTGGAGAAACAAGATCCAGAGCAGTAATTCTCATATTTTGATGTGCATATTGGATCAGTAGGGGGTTTTATTAAAATGAAGATTCTGATTCAGGATGTTTGGGGTGAAGCCAAGGTTCTGTTTTTCTAACAAGCTTCTGGTTAATGCCGAGGTTGCTGGTCTGGTCACCGCACCTTGAGGAGCAAGGATGCTGAACTGTGCTGAAAGGGGGTAGTTTAGTATCTGTATGTTAGGTTACTTCAACATTGATTGCAGAATTGGGTTAAAACACAGAGTCCCAGGTCCTAAGCCAAGAAATTCTGATTTACCAGACCCAGGATTTTATACATTTAATAGGTACCCTTCAGGAGTTTAGATTCAGATGATACAAGGACCACCTAGGGAGAAAGGATGAGCCTCAGGGACTGGGGAGCCCCAGAATATTAGGGTGTACGTATGTCCTTCTTCGTCTCTTAGGAAAGGAGCCACTTTCTGCTGGTCTTGCAAGATATGAATCTTTGGAAATTTTATTACGTAATATATAATTACTCATCTGTACGCTTCAGGAGCACAGAAATACCTTTATTGTAGGAGATACGCTGCCTAACACTGGGGACTATGGAACCCAGAGTTCAACTCTGTTGGGGTGTGGCTCCAATAAGTCACCCTGTGCTGCTTTGTCACAAGAGAAATGAATATCAGTAAAATCTAGATGAGCTGAAATTTAATTTAAAAAGAAAAAAAAAGGAGAAAGAAAATACTAACATTAAATAAAAAAGGAATTTTTAAGTTATATTTTGATTTAAAAAATTGTAAGGACAGGGTCTTCTGCTCAGGGAATTATAAAATATTAGAGTTGGAAGGGCTCCCACTTCCCTTTATTTAACAGAAGTAGTGAGAAGTGAAGATAAATAGGTGGGCGTGTAGGAGAGGGAGGGACCCCCACTGCTTTGACTGCCCAGTGGATGTTGGATGCAAAGCTGTGCCCAGGAGCTCTCCCTTTGTTTAATGCCATCTGGTCATTGGCTCTGCCTTGGCTGGACGCTCACTTGTCACCAGGTGGGTCTGAGGTCTCTGCTCCTCAACCACTGACCACCACCACCACCTCCTCCTGTTACACCCCAAGCTGAGTGTTCACAGTCTCTACTGTCATTGGTTTATGGCTGTGGGAAAAGTTGGCTTTTTGTATCTCTTTTAGAGTTTCTTAGCTCTTTTTTCTAACCCCGTCGTTCATCCTGTATTTATTTGTGGCCATTCTTCTCTAAGAAAAAGCAATTTCTTTCCCCCATTTACTTCTTTAGTCATTCATTTATTTATAGCAATATGAACACAAGAATTCTTATTTTATTCAATAGATTAAAATCCATTTTTTTTATTTTGAAATTGTTGGTCATAATGTATAAT